TAATAAATGTCTTCATCTTATGTAGAGGTGAACATGGAAATGTGGTAAACCCCTCTGCAGAATAGAAGCCCACCCTATAATAGAAGCCCATCCGGAATAGAAGCCCAGTCCCAAAGTTATAGTTTTTCGGACGTAATAGAAGCCCACTCGAAATGTGTATATATAGAGAAATCAAGAAAACAAACATTCTATTGATAATTTTCAATTTTTTTAAATTAAATGTTCATGTCGTCAATCTATTTCTTTCGTTTTGTATATCTTATTCTTTGACTATTGAACTTCGTTCGTCAATTGTGACCGTCGACAATTTTGTATAGAAAAAATAATTCTTTTTATTGTGTTCTAATTTTCGATATAAAAACAATCATATATATACATTTTAATACTTGTATTGCAACATTAATTCTCTATCGATTCGTAACAGTAATTCATTTTCATTCAAGTTGTGAATAAAAACTTATTTAGAATGGAAGAAACTCACTTATTACCATTACATTCTTTAACTCAAGAAATTGATATCGAGTCTGACTCTTCAATTAGTTCAGACGACGAAGTAATTGAAAATGTTATTCAAATGCTTAATAATGTAATAGATTTAACGGATATTACCAACGAATTACAAGACAATGAAGAAGATGATGATCAGCAACAAGCTGAAATTGACATTCCAATATCTTCCATGAGTGATACAACAACTAATCTGATTCAACTAACAAAATCTGATTACAGCAACGACAAATCCATCGAAAATTCTTCTTCAAAACGTCGATCTTGGACTGTTCAAGAAAAACTAAATGTTATCAATGCATTTAAAAAATGCAAAAATATTTCTGAAGTTAGTCGACAACATCATTGTGATCGAAAACAGATTCGGGAATGGTTAAAAAAAGAACAACAATTGTTACTCATCAAGGGTCAAAAAAATGGAAAAAAAGTTGATCGTAATTGAAGCCCACCTTCAAACTTATAATTTTCAAAACAAATTAGAAGCCCAGTGGGCTTCTATTCTGCAGAGGGGTTTATTACTGTGACAGATAAGATTTTTCTTACGACGTATTTTGTTCAGTATGAGGAGAATTGATGAAGTAATGCATCTATATCAGAGTCGAGATCGATCCAGTTCGATTGAACTTTTAAAATCAATTGGTTGTCAAACCAGTTTTTTGTCAATTTTGAAGGGTACTGA